TAATGACAATGTCGATAGTGTTGGAAATCTTTCCAGTCCACAGTGTAGCAATGTAAATGTGATGGGACTTTTTAACCATACACAGAGACGTAAGCGTAGTCATGGGCATCGGTCTTACAATAAACCTTTAATACACGATATCTCTTTTGATTAATTACTACCTTATGTAAATCAACAGTTGGGTCTACATCATATTCGCACCAAACTTTACTCTGTCCCTTTGAAACTTTTAAATAGTCTTCTTGAAAAGGTCAAGGAAAGTCCATTTTTTGATTCCTCGACACCAGAATATAGGCTCGGATCTGTGATTATGGATATTGCAAATCATAGGCTTTTTAAACCCCCGCAGCTAAAATAATCCGTTTTTTCCTTAAACTTCAATATGCCAACAAAGGAATTGACGCGGTTAATATAAGTAATATTCTTAATCACAAAAGGGTCCAGTCTTGTATTCCACCATATTTCAAGTTAAAGACTACACCTTGTATTTCCTACAAATATACATCGACTATTGCTTCCAAATTTTTTAATTACAAGAAAACTTTACAGTGCCTGGATATCGAATACCTGAAACATAATCCTCCATCGTGTTCATGTTCTTCTTCGCCCTATAACTATAGTCCTGCTGGACACGTTATTACTGGTGACGTTAATATAGTTAATAATGAGGACCTTAGATCACTAATTTTAAAAGGTCTTAAATTTAGGGAACAGCGATCCTTCAACTGGAGTCGGAATTTCATAAATATTATGGATTCTGTAGAGGACTACGCCAGGCGATGGGCCAGACATGAAAAAGAAGACCTTGACACTTTGTCAGAATGGATTAAATGGATCAGATGTATGTTAAAATCACGCATTAAAAGATTGAGGAGCAATATGAGAACCATCTATCCTTCTGTATTCAATAATCCAGAAGTGAAAAAAGAATTAGATAGATTACATGATCAGTACGTACTGGTCCCTGCTGACAAAGCAGGTAACAACATTGTCTTTGTTTGTAAGGCTCATTATATTAAATGTATTTTAGAGGATTTAATTCTACAAGTGGTAATCCAACTTATACTCGTAGTTCCCTTTCTAAGGAAGAAATTCTTCAAAATCATATGTCAGTTTTGAATATTTTTAATATTCCAAACAACCAAAATGAATTTGAATTACCATATTTATATTGGATTCCGAAACTTCATAAAAATCCTTACAAACAAAGATACATAGCGGGTTCCAGTAAATGTTCAACCAAGCCTCTTTCTTTACTCCTCACTAAGATATTAACAGTGGTGAAGGAGAAACTTCAAGAGTACTGTGCAACAATATATTCGAGAAGTGGTGTAAATCAGATGTGGATACTTAAAAATTCCAAGGAACTTTTGGAAAATTTGAAATCGCAAGATTTTACCAAAATCAACAGCTTAAAAACTTATGACTTTTCTACTTTATACACAACCAATCCCCACGATAAATTAAAGTCCAGGCTTTTTGATATAATTGACAGCTGCTTTTTCAATAAAAATGGAACTCGTAAATATACTTACCTTGTCATTGGTCATTTGCAAAATTATTTTGTTAAAAAACATTCTGATTGTACACACAAGTACTCTGAAGTTGACATTAAAAAGATGCTTGAGTTTCTGATTGACAATATCTATGTGGTTTTTGGAGACCAGGTCTTCCAACAATCTATTGGAATTCCCATAGGTACCAATTGCGCCCCGTTATTAGCAGACCTTTTTTTGTATTCATATGAAGCAGAATTTGTCCAAAATCTTGTACGTGAAAAGAAGAAAACACTTGCTGTGGCCTTCAACTCGACATTTAGATATATCGACGATGCATTGTCAATTAACAATGGCTATTTTCATTCTTATGTCGATACGATATATCCCGGTGAGCTTGAGATAAAAGATACAACAAGAGTCCGACACATCTGTTTCATATTTGGATATTTTACTTGAAAAATACGTTAATGGTAATCTAACAAAGAAGCTTTATGATAAACGTGATGATTTTAACTTTTCAATCGTCAACTTCCCTTACTTATGCAGCAATATACCTTCATCACCTGCGTACGGGGTATATATCTCTCAGTTGATTCGATACGCAAGAGCATGCTCTTCGTATGAACAATTTCTTAAACGAGGTAAATTATTGACAAACAAGTTTATGAAACAAGAATATCAGCTGTCTCGTTTAAAGTCATCATTTCGTAAGTTCTATGGTCGATACAATGACCTTGTCAGCAAATACAATTTATCATTGAGTCAAATGCTGACTGACGTTTTTCATACTTATTGTTAGGCCATTATTTACACACTGAATTGTCGACGGATTTTTCCGTTATTTCCCGATCATGACAAGGAGCACATGGCGGGTGTGACCGGTCGGCAGGGGATGCTCACTCCTCCATGGCACCTGATCCCACCTCTGATGTTTAGAGGTCCGTGTTTGCTTTGCTCCTATTTTGTATTGTTTAATGGACTTTTGAGCTTGAATACTGTTCGTTATCTCCATATATTTCATGTAGAGTCATGGCAGTTGAAATTTTTAAAAAATTATTCTTGTCACTGAACACAATTCCCCCTCCTTTCCTCTCTTATTTCTGTATGCCCCAGCTATAGCTGATGTCTGTGATCACTGATTAGGCTCTTGGAAACTTCCTGATTTCAGAATAAATATGTTACAATTAGTCAGAAACTAGTTCATGTTGTATGAAGCATATTGACAATGAAGCAAATGAATGAGTAAATGAAAAAAATCATGACCTTCAAATGTCAACTCATCAGTGGGAAAAGCTTTTTGTTTTGGGTAACAGAGACTAAGTGACCCATATCCACTCCCATCCCAACAGGCGAGAAGTCTTGACAGATTTAATTACTGCACTAGAAATACTTACTCAGTTACAAATTTGCTTTAAAATGAAGTGAACTAAATATAACTGGTTTTTTACAGCTGGGCGTAGTTTACAATTTGGAATCTATATAAGAATTACAGTAAAAAATATAATCAGACATTGAATACACAATAATTTTTTCAAGTTCGACAGTACCGGGTCACATACATGTACTTGTAATCAGGGACCTATATACTATAGGTCCCTGTTGTAACCTAATAAAAATTTCACCATTATTCAGGAATGTTCTGGGTTATACTTTTAACAGCAAACATGGGCTGTAGTGAAAAAAGCATTTAACAAGGGCACCGCAAAGCAGAGCATCCCCTCGCAAAGAGCATATCTATAAATCAAGACAGCATTCGACATCTCTACTAAAGCAAATTACACAAGGACAAACTTACAAACACACTAGAACACACACAAGCGAGTTACTATATCCCCTCCAACTCCGTTGCGAGGGGATAATAGCTGATAAGACAGATAATTGAGACCTGATTCTTCAATGGACGATAAAATCTCTGGATATTTCAAACCATGGGCATTTTTTTATGAAACTTCTAAGACATTCTTTGAAATAGGGCAAATAATGTTTATAAGATTTTTTTTTGGTCTGTTTCACAAAAGAACTTATGACTAAGACCAAAATATAATTTTGAGATTAACTTTCTTTTTAACATTGATTTGAAAATGATTTTAATCCTTTTAAAATTATTTTAGATAGATATTTTTATACAAGCAATTTTTAACAGAGTCATTGATTTTGCAAGATTATATTATCATCTAAAGTGTTTGGTCTTAGTAATAAGTTCTTTTGTAAAACATGCTCTTAGTAAATGTTGCAGGATTTTTGAAAATAAAACTTATAGGTACCATATATACCCACTAAGGTAAATATTGGCAGCCTCAGCAACATCAAAAACAAAATAAAATAAATTTAATTGAATGATATTAAAAAAATAAACATTTTGTCCGTTGTAGCAAACCATGTAACTTATTTTAATAACTGAATGAAGTTGACAGCATCTTGCTTGAGTCGTCTTTATAAAACAATATTAATGAGTATATAACCAAATATATTTCAGCACATCATTATGGGGGTTGACATTCTTTTAAAGTTCTCATCCTTCAATTATATTAATTATATTAATTCTGTCAAAAAGTCTTCATTTTTGTTTACAACAAACAGCTGCATTAGTGATGCTTGTACTGAATGATAGACTGCATGTGAAACATTGATCAGCAAAGTACAAAGAAAGCAATAACTCAACTAGTTACGTATTTCTAATCATATATATATAATTTCTGTTCTGAGTCACATTTATAAAATAAAAAGATTTTCTTTGTTCAAATATTGGTGAAACTAATTACAGGTAAGAATTAAAACTGCCCCCTCCCCAAGAAACAAAGGTAAAATCATTTAAAATGCACAATGTGTACTTCAATGTGTACTTCAAAATATTAAAAATAACTACATGAGCTGTTGAGTTTATTTCCATAAATATTTCCTTTTGATATCTTATACTAGTAATTAATCCTTGACATTTAACTTTGATAGACCCAATTGACAAATACATGTAGGCTATACACCTAGATTCTGTAGCATTTCCCCCAATTTAACCAGAAAAAGGTATATGTGTATGTTAATATCAACAAATCAAGAGGAATGATATTCAGAAAAAAAAATTGTGACCTTCAAATATCAACAAAGAGGGTTGAATGCACTTCAAAAGTAAAACCTAAAAATAAAGGTAATTATGTGCCTTTATAATTCAATTGTTGTCATCAGTTCTGCAGTGCAGTTGTTTACCCTCTATCTGTTTGATATTATAAAGCTGTCAACACCTCTTACTAGGTTTGTCTGTTTTGGATAGGTGAGCTGGGTCATATATCTGAGCTTAGTTTAGATGTTGTTAATGTATTACCTAGTCTTTGTTTTAAGAAAGAATTTCTGTTTGAAATTTAAAGGTCAATAGTTTTTTGGCTGCACAGATTTCTTTTGTTCCTTGTATTATTGGTGTTACGCAAAGCCAAAATGACATTGCAGGGGAGAGATTGTATGCAAAAGAAATTGTTTTGTTCTCAAACTGACTGTACTGTTATGATACAGACTCCACTCCATGACTCCACTCCACTCCACTCCACTCAGCTTTTTACCCCAAGCCACTAGTTGTTAGGCCATTATTCACAAACTGAATTGTCATGTAATGTCATGTCCTTTGGATAGCAGGACCCAACCTTCTTAAAAGAATTCTATAATACTCTTTTAAACTTCGCTTGTGGGGAATATTATAAGTCGTAATATTTAGAATTAAGGTGGATTTCTGTGAGTACTTTTTGATTCATCCCGAAGTGCATCAACTGATGAGGCCAAATGAAGGTTTGATGTTTTGAAGCCTCTTAGTATCTAAAATGTTGAGCTCATATATTTCGAAATGGAATAGCACAGGCACTTATTTCGTATATGGGGCAATCCCTACTTATTCTTACCAAAAGGTACCTAATTCAATTTCAGGCACCCCCACTTCAAACTCGTATTTTGTTAATATATCAATCATTAACCTACATAAAATTGACATCGTTTGCTTCGAGAGAGTCAAATAGCTTACTGCAAGCACTTCTAGACATAGACTAAACTTACAAAGGACTACGATGTATTTGTAAGTTTAGTCTATGTCTAGAAGTGCTTGCAGTAAGCTATTCATTATTTTTACTGCTTAATTAAACTTTTCCGAACACAAAATATGTAACAAGTAATATGTTTTCAAAAATTAAACTATCTTTATTTTTCCAGGAATGAAGACTAAAGGCAGGCAACATGCAGACTATACAAACTAGAAAAAAATTCTAACACACCACCTGTTATTCTCGTTTGTTAATTGAACATTTTACTAATCGGCACTAGAATATCTAATATGCCATCATTTCCAATACAGTGGATTTGACAAATGTCTTGTGGTTTCATGACAAGACCCTCAAATGACCTTGTCCCAAAACCAATTTCCTGACGTGCACTGCGTTTTTAGTCAGATATGAAGTTGGTTACAACAGCAGCAGTGTCCCAGTCTCCAGAGCCTTAACTTTGTGTCTATACCCAGCCCAACAAACTCCAGGTTGCCCCAGATTTGTTAAAAAATATTGAAATTGTCATATAATGACAACTTAATGCCGTGGTTATCTGTAGAAAATATTTTTATGTTTGTTAATCTAATTGAATCAATTTTTCACTAGAAGTAAGAATTATCTTTAAATTGATTTTATTTTTACAAATTACTTCAAATGAACACCCTGCAGACACAATACTTATTGCTTTAGCGCTTTTCTACGGTCAACGCTGCATTCGGTGCATTTCTTTTCACAGTTATTATTCATACAAACATAATATTACAAAGAAAAACACAAATTTATTCCTCCAAAAAATGTGAGCACGATTTTCAATTTTTCTATGAAATGGTTACACATCGGTCACCCAGGAGGATACACTGATATAGGGGAGAATGTACTCATTGGTCACCAAGGAGGATACACTGATATAGGGGAGAATGTACTCATCGATCACCAAGGAGGATACACTGATATAGGGGAGAATGTACTCATCGGAGAAATTACATGTGACAAGGCCATTGTCCATAGATTTTTTTGAAATGTCTATACATGTTCATAATGGTAATATCTGTGTTTTCTTTTTCTATAATCATCCAGTCATTTTATACTAAATTAAAGCTACAACAGAAGAAATCCTTATCCGAGATTCCTCCGACTCTAACCCCCGCTTCAATATTTTGACATGTGTAATCATCCAATCACTTCATTCTGAACTTATTCTACTGCACAACCAACCTTAATCAGCACTGGTTTCTACAATCATCCAGTTACTATACTTAACTGAACTTAAACCACTGCAGGGTCAAACCTAGCCAAAACCGGCTTCTATAATCACCCAGTCACTTCACACCTAATTACAGCTACTGAAGAACTACACAGCACAATTGAGGCTACAAAAAGGGGGCGGAGCCTAATTTGTACGGGAAATATTAACTATGACATCATACAAAACCATTAATTCTTAAAAATACCACAGAATGAAATCATTTGCTATTTTAAACTGTAGGAGACCATCAAACTACATCAAAACATATTATAACATGCTGTTTTATCTTTAGTTAAATCCCACATAGGCATAAATAAGTCAATGATCGCGATGCACTTGCAGATGTGACGTCATTTCGTAAAACTTGACGCAGATTGTATGCAGTGAGGGGCGGATCAGCAATGTTTTTACAACGAAAATGTATTTCAAAATTAAATAAAATATTATTTGCATATATTTAAGAGGCAGTTAACTTGGTTGCAATGTCTTCTTTATGATTCTATTAATATATTTTCCGTACATTTCCTATTTAAGTGATACTGTCGTATATTCGTATATAAGTACATCGGAGAGTAATGTAAGGGTCTTAATAAATCGATCTAGTGCAAGGGCATACACTCAATGGATCATAGTAAGCTTTTACAAATAAACTCTAGAGGTATTAATGTATCTGAAAAGTGCTGCGATCCTGGTGAAATCTTGAAAATGAATTAACTGTATCTATATTTAATGCCGTTGACCAGCAAAAAATACAGCATGCGGTCATACAAAAATGATTTTAACAATGAAATAGCAGAATCTATATAGGATCGCAGCACTTTTCAGAAACTACAATGCGTGTTGAAAATATTTATAAACTAAACTCAGAATTTTAACTTGGTTATGCCATTGCACTAGTGTTGTTTATAGGTGACCTCAATACTGCAAGTATATGTGCTATAATCACGTGATTACCGCATCACGTGACAAGTCTAAATATAAAATCTTATCGTCCACAATATGTCGTTATTAACCATAATTACATTTGTCCGATATAAAAAAAGTACTATAAAGAATCGCCATCCTGATTAAGAATATATTTTTTAATCACAAAAATTGCCTATATTTCCATTGGACACCTTAACTGTACTGCGTAGTTTTAGAACACCACCTTCTATAATCATTCAGTCACTTCATACTGACATAGTGCTTCTACAAAACCAGCCCTAGTCAACACTGGACTTTATAAACATCCAGTCCATCCATCCGATACAATGCTCCTAAAAAACCAGTTCAATTTAACATTGGCATCTTTAGTCATCCAGTCACTTCATCTTAAACTTATGCTACTGCAGAAACAACTATAGCCAATACTAGCTTCTAGAAACATCTAGTCACTTTACACTTAATAACAGCTACTGCAGAACCATCCTTAGCCAACACCGGATTCTATAAACATCCAGTCTCTTTATCCTTAACTAATACTACTGCAGACCCAACCCTAGACAACATTGGCCTCTATAGACATCAAGTCTCTTTATCCTTAAAGATGCTTAGACACAGATTTGAAGTTCATATTTATTCAAATTTTCTGAATGATTTTATGACTTTTATATTGATATAATATTTCATACGAAAATTTGATAAAAATCTTATTTTATCTGGAAGTTATTGAAACTTCGAATTTTTGGACGCGTTTGGTAGACACATCCTTGCACATTCACAAATTTTAACTTTATCCTTATTACTTTAGAAAAGTAGCAATTTTGTTGTTTATTAATGAAAAAGATTAAAACTATAATGCAGAAATTTCAGAGTAGAAATGTAGACAACAAAATCATCTCGCCAGTATTGTCAGTCCGTGCTCAGTGGTGTGTGCAGAGTTTAACAATTGAAGACACCCGGTGAAACGTAAACATTAACAACAACAGAGCTCGTGCCCTGTTTACAAAAACAGTTTACGTTTCACGGGTGTATTCAACTTGTTAAACTCTGTACACAATTACACAACACTGACAATATTTAAGTGAGTTGGTTTTGCTTTCGCACATTTTTACTCTGAATTTTCTGGATTATAAATGTAATATTATTCATTAATACACAACAAAATTGCTACTTTTCTTAAGTACTAAGGATAAAGTTAAAAATTGTGAAAGTGCAAGGATGTGTTAATCAAACGCCTCCCGAAATTCGTAGTTTCAATAATTGCCAGATTTAATAAGTTTTTAATTTTATTTTCGTGTGAAATGCCATAGCAACATATAAGTTGTGATATTATACAGAAAAATTGAGAAAATATAAACTTCAAATCTGTGTCTAAGCACCTTTAACTAATACTACAGCAGATCCAACCCTAGACAACACGGGCTTCTATAAACATTCAGTCTATTTATCCTAAACTAATGCTTCTGAACCAACAAGCCAACAACATTGTAAACATCTTCGATTCCTTTTTTTCTCTATCCAAACAATCATTTATGATTAAGAAGATAACAAGTATTTATTGTGTTTATTGATAGGTATAGTATTTTTTTTCAATATTTAAAATGGTCAAATTAGTGATGATATAATAGGAGTGTACAAAGGAATATAATGAGGATAATTATCACAGTCTGTTTCAGACTACGTTTATTGTCACACACACACACACACACACACAAGGTACAATCGAGTATGGAATGTTTTAAGATGAGTGTGTAACATCTTAAAGCTCAAGGCAATGTAACATCAATGTAATTTTCTATGGTAATAAAAGATCTAAATTTTAGATAGAATATCTCAATTTCAGTCCTAGAACATCCTATGGTAATAGTTCGTTAGTTTAATCTGAATTTACAATATATTTTACAATATATTTCATTCTTACAATAAATGTATTTCTACATTATGACTCCATGAAACATTAGCACCCATCGTGTTTTCCAGTGGGTGTTTTTGCTTTGTGCAGATTTTTGTTAAAACTCAAAATAATACTACACTTAAACTCAAGCTACATTCCATGAAAAACCTTTATAAAACAAATAAGTCTAAGTTTTAGAACTGATATTAGGTTGTCATCTTAATTTGCTTTTAAAAAAGATTCAGGCAGGAGTATTTTTAAAATCATTTAATCAATGATAAATCAGATAAGATACAATTTTGGCAATTTTTTATGACACCGTTTGTTATATTCTGCCAAAGAAAAATATAGTAGATCATTAAAAGTACAATGTCTGTTTTGTGTAACATGTTTGTATGAAATATGGAGATAACGAACAGTATTCAAGCTCAAAAGTCCATTCAAACAATACAAATCGGGAGCAGAGGAAACACGGACCTCC